AGCGGTTAGAGTGTTGGCCTGTGGTCAAGAGAGACCCGGGTTTGGTTTTCGCTAAGGGCACCTACCTCGGTTGCAGTTTGTCCCTGGCCCTGGTTGTGGTCACGTGGGTGGCAACCACTCGATGTTTCTCTCTCACATCGATGTTTCTCTCTCTCTCTCCCCCTCCCACTCTATCTGAACAAAATACAGAAAAAATGTCCTCGGGTGAGGATTAAAAAAAAAAAAATGCTGTGATACATATACACAATGGAGTACTCTGTAGCTGTAAGAAAGAAAGATCTCTTATCCTTTGAGACTACATGGAGGAACCTGGAAAGTATTATCCTAAGCGAAACAAGCCAAACAGAGAAAGACAAGTAACATATGATCTCACTTATTTGTGGAATATAATGAACATAACAGTCTCAGGAACAAGGGAGTCCCACAGGCGTGGAAGTGGGGTTCAGACTGACAATCCCCAGAAGAGGGGGTGGGGGGAGAGAGATAAACCACAGAACTTATATGCATGTATGCATGAACAACGGACATGGACAAGAAAGCTGGGGACAGGGTGGGGAGGGGGGAAGGGGGGAATCAGTGGGGGGAAAGTAGAAACATCTGTAACAAAAATAAATTAATTAATTAATAAGTCTAGCCAGTGTGGGTCAGTGGTTGAGCATCAACCCATGCACCAAAAGGTCATCAGTTCAATTCCCAGTCAGGACACATGCCCAGGTTGTGGGCCCGATCCCCCGTGGGGACGTGCAGGTGGCGGCCAATCGATGTTTTCTCTCATTGATGTTTCTGTCTCTCCCTTCCTCTCTCTAAAAAACCAACAAAGAAAAAAAAAATTAATTAATTAATTAATTAAAAAAAGAAAGAAAGACAGAAAGAAAGAAACTGTTATTCCTTGGAGCATTTGAGATCTAGCTCCCTGGAATATGTCATCAGTTTGGCTCAAACTCATTAAAATTTTTCTACAGATGGCTTGGCTGGGTAGCTCAGTTGGTTAGAGTATTGTCCTGATACATCAAGGTTTTGTGTTCAATCTCAGGTCAGGGCACATACAAGAAACAACCAATGAATGCACAAATAAGTGGAACAACAAATTGACATTGATATTTCTCTCTCTCTCTCTCTCTCTCTATCTCCCAATCTCTAAAATTAATAAATAAAAAATTATAAAAACAAAAATTTCTCTACAGGTTTGGATGTTTTTTTGTATCAACAAAACAAACACAGAGAATTCAACCAGTTCCAGCCATAGAAAGTTTCCTTTCAGGGCAAATATCCTTTTTATTTTCTTACATGAATGAAAACGTGTCTTGCATCATCTTCCCTATTCCCAAAGTCTGTATTCCATGGTGACTGTATAAGCCACACGGAGAAGCACAATGCGTGGCTTAGGGTAGGGTCCAATAAGATCTACCAGACTGGAATACGGTTTTATCAAAATTCTAATAGCCCTACCAAATGTTTGATTTCTTGTTTGGACCTGATTGGAGACAATTATTTATTTTTAACTACCTGAATGTAATTCCCAGGCACTAATTTAAGTTTGCTTGAGGCTGTAGATAAGTGAGATTCTCATTTTACAAGTCTAATTAGTATCTGCATCCTGGTAGGGGAACTTCATTACCTTAAGCTTAAGGGCTCCAGAAGTCAGGCTTCTATTAATATAGGAAGGGTGGTGGGACTTCCCAGGGAGGAGGCCAGGATACCTGGGGCCTGGGAATCTCTGGTCAGTTTAGCAATAGTTTTCCATCTGAGCCAGCTTCCCCTTCCCACTCAGGCTGAACTTGGGGTTCACCATTCTTCTCAGGCTTTCCTTGTTTTTCTGCTGCAAGAAGCCATTTGCCAGCAATTGCCAGTGTGAGCCACCCCCAACTACTGGTTCCTTTTCCTGGGTCAGTATCAACACATGTGAAATCTTCTTTACTAACCTCAATATTATAGTTGCTTTTCCTTTCATTAATATTATACATTTAAGCCCTGGCCGGTTTGGCTCAGCGGTTGGAGCGTCGGCCTGCGGTCCAGAGAGACCCGGGTTCGGTTGCCGCTAAGGACACCTACCTTGGTTGCAGTTTGTCCCCGGCCCTGGTTGGTTGTGCAGGTGGCAGCCACTCTTGATGTGTCCCTTTCACACATATATAAACATCAATGTGAGAGAGAAATACCGGGATAGAACCTGCATGTGCCCTGACCAGGAATCGAACCTGCCACCTTCTGGTGTATGGAACGATGCTCTAACCAACTGAGCTACCTGGCCAGGGCTTGATTTTATTTTTTGAAGGGAAATTGAATACATTCATTCCTCACTTAAAACCCTTGATGACTTCCTGTTGTTCTTACAATAAAGATGAAAATCTTACCACCACCACCTGTGTGATCTTGTTCCTGACTCACTCCCAGCCCCATCCCAAGCCACTCTGCTCTTGCTTAAGTTACCCTGGACTTCTCTCACATTGCCTTAGGCTTTAGAGTGACCTAACAGCTCCTACTGCTTCAGATTTCATTTTATATTTTTTCAGGGAGGACTTCTTTACCTCCATATGAAATGTGGTCTCCCTGTGCTGTGCTTTCTCAGCACCCTGCCCATTTCCTTCGTAAACCTTATTTGTTATTGAAATGGACACATTGCATGCATATGTGTAAAAATCTGTGGCTATGTTATTTTTCTTTAAATGATGCAAGCTTTCTCATGGGCTCTAATTCATACAGGACACGGGCTAAACCTAAATTTGCTGATTAAAGTTATCTGGTCTTAAAAGTTTTATTTGGGATATTCGGTCAATTCAAAGTTGCAGCCCTGTCAGAACTTTCCCGTCCCCCTCTGGACTTCCCAAGATGGCTTGTGGGATCAAAGGGAAGCTTCATAGAAGTGACAGGAGTTGGGAGCTGAAACATGGGTCTTCACTGGCTTCTGCTCCCTAGTCACTCCTGATTACCATGGCTCTGCTGGCATCAGCTGCTGAGCTTGACTGGCAAGTTCATGATTTGTTGTTTCATTGGCTTGTCCATGGCTCTCAACCATGTTACTTTCTGCTTGCCTGGCAGGAGCATACCAAGAAGGCTGGGTTCCTGGCATGCCATGTGCAAGTTGTGGACATCCAGCAGCATTTTCTTAGACTGCTCTCCCTCCTCAATGCTTCTCTCTGTTCCTGAGCCTGCTCAACGTAAAAATTCTGCCAGAATTTGGCAGCTTTCTGAGATGGGCCAGGGGAAATGGGCTTCCAACCCCACTTCCTAGCCCCCCGCTTAACTGGGTACTTCTGTGCCCCTGTATCAGGGTTAGACCCCCAAAGTAGGGGAACACTGACACACTCATGCTGACTTTTTACCCTACCTATTTCTCCATGAAATTTATTTTATCTCCCAAACTCTTATTATTTTTGTGGTCCTTAGCTTAAAGCTCAAGGAGGTTTTTCCTGGTCTTTCACACAAGATTGACCATAAATTTTACAAGGACAGGAACTGTTTTGTTCATTTCTGATTCTCAGTGACTAACATAGGGCTTGGTACACAGTACCAAAATTCAGAATAGAAATGCAATAAAAATTTGCTGAACAAATATTGTTAATATTGTTTATCCCTAATAGGCCTAAGCCCCTCGATTCCCTTATTATGCAGGACATGGGAGTCAGTTCTTGGCCCTCTTATTCATTTACTCAACAAATACTTTAAAAAAATGTTTTTTTCTTTATTGATTTTTAGAGAGAGAAGGGAGAGAGAGAGAGAGAGAGAGAAGAAACATTGATGGGCTGCCTCCTGCATGTCCCCCACTGGGGATCAGGCCCACAACCTGGGCATGTGCCCTGACCAGGAATCTAACTGGCGACCTCTTGGTGCATGGGTCAACGCTCAACCGCTAAGCCACACCACCTGGGCTCAACAAATACTTTTTGAGTTCATACTATGTGCAATGCATCGGACTTGCTATTGGAGATACAAAGTAAATTCTTTTTTTTTTTCCCATTTATTTATTTATTTTTTATCCTCAGATAGAGTGGGAGGGAGAGAGAGGAAGAGAGAGAGAGAGAGAAACATCAATGTGAAAGGTACACATTGAGTGGCCACCACCCCCACGAGACATATGCAACCGAGGACAAACTGCAACCGAGACATATGCCCTTGGCGGGAACTGAACCTGGGTCTCTCTGGACCGCAGGCTAACGCTCTAACCGCTGAGCCAAACTGGCCAGGGCAAAAGTAAATTATTTAAAACATTTTTATTAAACATTAAATACATCCAAAAAGTTGATAACATATGTAAAGTTCAAATTGATTACAAAGTGAATCCTCTCTAAACCTACCACCCATCTTCAGTGGTAAATCTTTACATAATGAGAATAGATCAAAAGGGGACACAAACAGATCTCTGGAGACCAGTTAGGAGGCTAGACCAGTCTAGAGCAGAGAGATGAAGGGGTCTGGGGCAGGGTGGTACAGGGCAAGAGAAGGGGGGGTGGGCTCAAGAGATATTTAGGAGGAAACCTGGACTTGATGGATAGTCACTCACTAGTTGTGTGACCTAGATAACTCCCAATCTTCCTGGATCTCAGTTTCTGTATCTGTAAAGTAGGCTGGTAATAACTATAGTTAGTTATTTGTATTCCTAGCACCTAGCACAAAGCTTGGTACAAGATGACACACAAAAATCATAGCCACTATTGTTAATACTGTACTGTGTAAACTTCATAAATGCTGGCAGAATGAATATTCTGTCAAATTTGGGGCTGGAACCTTCCACTCACTTCTAGGGAGAAAACCGATAAATGACGGTGACTCTGCCATAGCCAATGCCCACATTTCAAGGAAAAGCAGCACCGTGGGCTGGGGTCAGAGTCTGGGCCAGGGCCAGCCCCCGCCCCGGCCCCGCCCACATTCCAGCGAGCTCCGCCCCCGGGCAGCGCGCGCCGCCGCTGCCGCCGCCGCGCGCGCTCCGCCCCGCCCCTGCTGATGACGTCCGCTGCCGAACGGGCCGGGCGGGCTACATTGAGCCTTGTGCTTCCGCGGGCTCCGGGGTCGCTGGGGCTTCGTGGTGCGGGGGGCTTACGGTGTTTCGCCCGTTTCCTCACCTCTCCGGTGCTGTCTCGCGGCGTCCTGCGTGGCCTGCGTTTCAGCGGGAGGCCAGGGAAGGGGTGAGTGTTGGCGGGAGCGGGATGGGACCGGCCGGGAGCGCGCTCCTCTCTCCCGGGCCTTGTCTGGGCGGGGGCGGCGCGGGCACGTGCGCGCCCCTCCCCCGCTCCGCCGACCGCGCGGCCCCGGGTGCTGAGGGGGGAGGGAGGCGGCGGATGAGAGCCGAGAGGAGAGGATGTGGAGGAGGAGGAGGAGGCTGGATCCAGGGTGCGTGGGTGTATGTCCGGGAAGTCTCCGAAGCGGTTACCTGGAATTTGGGTATGTGTGTGTGGGGGTTCTCCCCCGCTCGTTGAGGGGATGGGGGTCCCTTGAGCCCCAGTAGCCAGAGCTTTCAAGATGTGAAGCTTCATGGCCTGTGATGGGATTGGAGAGGAGATTTGGCCCCGGCACCAGCAAGTTGTGGGTTTACCAACGAGAATCCTGGATTCTCCCTCCAACCTGTCGCCATCCCGACCGAGCCCCTCCTCTGTGAAGGCTGAGTAGGGTTTAGAAAGGTTGGGGGTATTCCAGGGATGGTGCCCGAGTTCAAGCAGCGGAGGTGTGAGACAGTGCAGGGTGGAGTGGAAAGCTTAGGAAAGTGAGAAAAGCTGGTTTGGTGGGTTGTGGTCAGATTGCAGGAGACAATGAAGTTTATATCATACCATTTTTCTTGTTATGATGTAATTATGTTAAAAAATACAAAGTAGAGGAGAAAAATATCACCAATAATCCTTAGAGTTTGATATATGTTTACTAGTATTTTCACCTAAACTTTAAACGATTAGAGATTACCTACAATTTTCCATTCCTTTTTCTGGTTAGCATGTAAAATGCAGTGTAATAAGTAGGATGCAGCAATATCATTTCCTCTTTCTTAATAAGCAAGTAGCAAGTGTTCTTAATAGAAAACTTAAAAAAATAAAAGCAAAATGAGGAAAAGTACCCATAGTTTCCCTGTCTACAGGGATTATCATTGAGGGTATATTTTTGGCTGTATATATTCTTTCAAAGATAGAAGCAGATGATGCCCCAATTAGGAATTCAGTTTTTATGAGAAACCTTTGAAGGTTTTATGTAGATAAGCAGCATAATCTGACTGCTAGGTGGAGACCAGTTAGGATGCAGTACCTTAAACTAGGTCCTGCGTGTACCTTGAACTAGGGCGGTGGAAACAGAGAAGGGTAGAAAGATTAAAAATATATTTTGGAGGAAGAATGGACAAAACTTGGAAATGGATTGGTTAGGGAAATGGAGAAGTCTTTGCTTTTCAGTATTTGTTTTGAGCATCTGTGAATAGATGGTGACATTTGCCGAGAAAGAGAAGAATGGTGGAGAATTTCGAGGTGGGAAAAATCATGAGTTTTGTTTTGGATGTATTAAACTTGAGGTGCATATTAGTTATAAAGTTGGTATGTTGAGGAGGCAGTTGGATGTACCGGTTTGAAACTCACAGAAGAGCGAGCCTAGAGCTGGAGATAAAAATTTGGGAGTGCTCAGTATATAGGTGATACTAACGTTTTGGGAATATATGAGATCACTTAGGGAGGAAGAGTATAGATAAGAAGTGAAAATCGAGCCTCTGGCACTCCAAGACTGCTAGAGGAAGTTTGAGTACAGAACAGGAAGAAACAGCAGGTAAGAGAAAAAGCAGGAGACTGATGTCATGGAAGCCAAAAGAGATAAGTTTCTGGAAGATGAATTGGTTCTTTTATCAGCATGTCTAAGATGTTTGGTAAGAGGCTCCATTGGCATCGTGGAGGTTATTGGTTTTGGTCACTGGTAGTACTATCCAGACTTCTAGAATTGGAAGTTGGAAATCAGATTGGAACAATTGAATGGGATGTGAGGAAGTGAAGACAGGGAGTGTGAATTAGAAAAAAGTACCCCTTCTTCAAGACAGGTTATTTCCATTCACCCCAAAACTAAATTTGATAGATGAAAAACTGATGCCTTGTTTAATTTTTCTATTCCTTGTTTACTAATATGGTTGAAGATTTTTTTTCACATTTATTGACCATTTGTGAATTTCTGTTCTGTCCTCTGTGCTGCTGCTGCTTTTTAATCATTTTCTAATTTATTGTTAAGAGTTCTTTAGATAGTAAAAATATATAACTGACATAGTAGAATCATACAATATTTGTCTTTTTGTGACTGGCTTATTTAATTTAGTATAATATCCTCCAGGCTCACCCATGTCGTAGCATGTGTCATAATTTCCTTTTTAAGGCTGAATAATATTCCAGTGTATGTCTATATTTTGTTCATCCAAGTGTCACTGAACACTTGGGGTGCTTCATGTTTTGGCTATTGTGAATAATGCTGCTAAAAATGTAGGTGTACAGGTATCTGTAAATATCTGTTCAAGTCCCTGCTTTCAGTTCTTTTGGATATATATCCAGAGGTGAGATTGCTGGATTATATGGTAATTCTATTTTTAATTTTTTGAGGAATTGCCACACTATTTTCTTTTTTTAATCCTCACCTGAGGACATTTTTCCATTTTTTGTTCAGATAGAGTGGGAGGGAAAGAGAGAGGAAGAGGGAGAGAGAGAGAGAAACATGGACATGAAAGGGACACATCGAGTGTCTGCCACCAGCATGACCAACCAGGACCAGGGACAAACTGCAACTGAAGTACACGTTCTTAGCGGGATGCAACTGGGGTCTCTCTGGACCACAGGCCAACGCTCTAACTGCTGAGCCAAACCGGCCAGGGCGCCACATTACTTTTTTTTATTTTTTTTTTGGTACGTGCCCCTAGTGGAAACTAAACCCAGGACTCTGGGTCCACAGGCCGACGCTCCCAACTGATGAGCCAAACTGGCCAGGGCGACCACGCTGTTTTCTATAGCAGCTGCACCATTTCACATTCCAACCAACGGTGCACAAGAGTTTGAATTACTCTACATCTTTGCCAGTACTTGTTTTCTGTTTGATTGTGGCCATCCTAATGGGTGTAAGATGATATCATTATGGTTTTGATTTGCACTTTATTAATGTTAGTGATATTGAGCCACTTTTCATGTGCTTATTGGCCATTTGTATATCTTCTTTGGAGAAATCTATTCAAATTATTTGCCCATTTTTGAATTGGGCTGTTGAGTTTTAGTTTTCTCTATTTTCTGGATATTAATCCCTTATTAGATATGTGATTTGCAAATATTTTCTCTCATTCTTTGTGTTACCTTTTTATTCTGTTGATAGTATCTCTTAATGCACAAAATTTAAGAATTTTCATGAAGTACAATTTGTCCATTTTTCTTTTTTTATTATTATTTTTTCTAGCACGGAGGGAGGTACAGAAGGAGAGAGGAAGAGTGTCCATTTTTTTTTGTTACCTGTGCCATTGTCGCCATATCTAAGAAAAGCATTGCCAAATCCAATGTCATGACACTTTTGTCTTGTTTTCTTCTAAGAGTTTTATTTTAGTCTTAAATTAAGGTCTTAGATCCATTTTTTTTAAATATGGTGTTTAATAAAAAATTTTTTTTCCTTTAATGATTTTAGAGAGAAAGGAGGGGGGGCGGAGAGAGAGGTAGAAACATCGATGAGAGAGTACATCTATCAGCTGCCTCCTGCATGCCCCACACTGGGGATTTGGCCTGGGCATGTGCCCTGATTGGGAATCGAACTGCCTACTCTTGGTGCGTGGGTTGATGCTCAACCACTGAACCACACCACCTGGGCAAGTCTTACACATTTTAAGTTAATTTTTGTATGTGGTGTTGGATAAGGGTCTGATTTCATTCTTTAAAATTTTTTTAATTGCTTGTAAATTTTATTTTTTATGTTTTTATTGATTTTAGAGAGAGAGGAAGGGAGAGAGAGAGAAACGTTGATATGAGAGAGAAATATTGTTTTTGTTGCCTCTCGAACATAACCACAACCAGGGATTGAACCTGCAACCTAGGTATGAGCCCTGACTGGTAATTGAACCTGCAATCTTGGCATATTGGTATGATGCTCTAACCAACTGAACTACTTGGCCATCAGCACTGTTTGTTGAAAGGACCATTCTTTCCCCCATTGAATGGCCTTGGCTCCCTTGTCAAAAATCATTTGACCATGTATTCAAAGGCTTATTTTTGGTCTTAGCTTTTTAGTAAGTTTTAAAATCAGAAAGGTCAAGTTTTGTTCTTTTTGATGATTGTTTTGGTTATTTAGGGTCCCTTGAAATTCTGTATAAATTTTAAGATAGGTTTTTTTATTTATGCAAAAAATGTTATTGGGATTTTGATAGGGATTTCATTGACTCTGTAGGTGGCTTTAGGTAGTATTGACATTTTAGCAATATTAAGTCTTATCTATGAACATGGATGTATCTCTATTATGTCTTCTTTCATTTCTTTTACCAATTTTTAGCAGTTTTCATTGTACAGGTCTTTCACTGCCTTGGTTAAGTTAATCCCTCAGTATTTTATTCTTTTTGATGCTATTATAAATGAAATTGTTTTTGTAGTTTCCTTTTCATATTGTTCATTTTTCATGTATAGAAAACAGATTTTTAAAATTTGAGAGAAAGAGAAGGAAACATCAGTTTGTTATTCCACTTATTTATGCATTCATTGGTTGATTCTTGTATGTGCCCTGACCAGGGATCGAACCCAAAACCTTGGTGTGTCCAGACAACACTCTGAGTTATCAGGCTAGGGTGAAATGCAAGTGATTTTTGTGCCTTGACTTTGTATCCTGCTACTTTGCTGAATTCATTTATTCTAACAGTTGTTTTTTGTTAATCCTCACCCAAGGATATTTTTCCATTGATTTTTAGAGAGAGTGGGAGGGAAGAAGAGAGACAGAGAGACATTGATGGGTTGTCTTCCACATGACCCCAACTGCAGCTGAGGATCCAACTTGCAACCCAGGTACATGCCCATGATGGACTCGAACCTCAGACCCTTTGGTCTGCAGGCTGTTGCTCTAACTGCTGAGTCAAACTGGCCAGGGCTATTCTGACAGTTTTTTGGTGTGTAAATTTTAGGGTTTTCTAGGTATAAGATCATAATAAAATGCTTTCATATTC